TCCTCTGCCAAACATCTTTCTGCGTAAACTTGTTGCGAAACACAGACCCATGCGAATCCATCAAAATGACGTCGGACTATGTCGTGATGAAAAACTTGTCTGGCCAAAGTCGTTTTACCAATACCGCCCATCCCAGATATAGAAACCACTTGATGTTTATCATTCTCCACCAAATGACCAACCAATTCTTCAACACTCTGCTCCACCCCAACAAGATCGTGGTCAGGACTTTTAGCGAACGTTTGTCGGATCTCCCTCTGCTCCCTTTGTCTGTCCTGAAGAGACAGCGAACGACCACCATCAATGATTTGTTGTATCCCTAAACTCTGCATATCCCCAATCACCTCAGAGATCCTCTTAGTGATTCCTTCGATATCTGAAGCAACTTTGCGTTAAGAAGCAAGCAAGTCTTCTCACATGCTTCTTGATTCCTTTTTCTTTAGCTCTACTTTTGTTCAGAACATAGGATTCAAGTATATCCTCAGCATCATAAACAAGGTCTTTGACATCTTCCAAGAAGTTCCTCACCCTTTCACTTCCATGTTTCTTGGCATCTGCATCTTTCAACAACGACTCTAAACTTCTCAGCTGACGCTTTAGTCCTTCAACTTGCTCATCAATTCCCTGCAATCGCTCAGATTCTCGACTCAGGAGATCCCAAAGCTTCTCAACTCCAAACGACACAAATGCTTCAGCCATAACAACTACTCGTCGTCAATCACCTACGATGAACCAATACAAGAACGCCAAGGGTACAGATTCTGAGAAAAAATTGATCTAAAATCATTTACTACAAATGAAGAAACCGATCAATTTAGTCAAAACTCTAAGCTAGAAGTTGACTCCAAGTCAACCTTATCTTTCTAGCTACCAATCTCTTGGCTAAGGGTTCTCTACAATAATATATCTTATGCTTAATGATTGATAAAGTAAAAGATATTTTATATGTCAGAATATTAAATTAGATGAGCCACATAAAAGAGAACTATTATTACAACTTATCTACAGTTATCGGACCAAATTGAAGAATTGTCTTGAATCGTTGACTCAAGACAAAGGAGAGGATTGTCTTGAATCGTTGACTCAGTCCTACCGTTGCTTATTGGATTCTCCAGCTCATATATAGCTTTTTAACACTTTAGAAACTAAATTTTCAAGAGAGACACACAAAACCTTGCACTGTTGAAAACTATATATTAGAGGATTCTAATCAGAAGACATAGCTGAAACCTAGTGTTTGTAAAAATGTAACCAAATTCTCATCAGGATTCATCGAGCATATACACAGTAACAAGTATATCTTTGAGAGTAAACACACTAAGACACCTTATAACTCATTGTAAGTCCTCTAATAATAGTTAAGACATGCCTAAGTATCCGCAGAAACTGTCTACTATATAGTAAGCAGGGCAGGACAGCAACAGATTGATCGGTTAATAAGCAATATGTTATCGTAACTAGACTTGATACAGATGAATACAAACGAATCTAAAGGGATTAACGCTCTACCGTTTCAGTCGCAAGAAACCACTGTCACTGTGTATCCTTTATTCAAACAGCTTTAGATGCACGGATATCTTAACTCACTCCAATCATCGTAGTGGTTCTTGACAAGAGCACAAATACAAGAAAAAATGGTAACATAATCGCGTTTATTCTAAAATGGTAACAACATCGCAAGGCTTCTTTGCTTGATACCTTGTTCTATCGTTAAAACAAACTCTCATCAAGAAAAAAGAACTAAACCCTTATAGCTAACACATTTCAGGTGAAGTAATTTCCCTAAAGTCTCTACTACACATTTCTTGCATATTGAGTAACCAAAACAAAATTTGTCTCTCCCATTTAGTGTGAAAACCAATCTATCTTCTTCACCAAATATGCTTCTGAGTGAGAAATACGATCATTTGACTAAGACATGGAAGTTGGTATAACACATCCGTAAACATTAAAAAACTTGTTACAAGATTTCCTAAATCGATTCAAGTCCATGGTTTGAAATTTGAAGTAAGAGACCGATCTTTTAAGTCAAAAAATTGATGAAAGATTTAGGATTGGAATTTGACACAACACTATTTATCTTGTTTCTCCTCGGTATATCTTCGAGCTTGGATTCTTCAATCCTAGTGATCATTGGTTTATTCAGGATTTGGTACAAGAGTATTCCTAAGAAAACCGAGACTATCCTCTCTACGATTCTAACGGAAAGCTTAAAGATCTCTGATACTAACCTTCTTCCGTGATTAATCTTATAAACATGTCTACATGCCCCAGTAACATACGGAGAACGCTACTCTCTTTTTTTTCTATTCTCTGTAATATACAAACTTTATCCACTAATGTTGACGATGCAAGCATGGAATCAAAATTGCGTGCAGAACCAAATGCCACACATATCCTTGTCCTTATAACACAACATGATGTCAAGCAACTGGTCAACAACAATCAACTTCTCTATAAACTTACTCTACTTACATCTTCCTCATTCATTCTATTTCCTCACCCATGCAGAGCTTTGTGGGTGTTCATATTATGGGCGTATAACATATTTGATCCCTGCTCATAAGCTTTGGGGAGCCATGGAGTGCTGTGTCGGTCTCCTTTATAGCGCCATCATAGATGCTGCTGCTAACATAGCAAACGCTGCTGCGAAGTGGCGTTGTGTGAGGGATAGTTCTCTTCATGGACTGTGGCGTAGGAACATCCGAGAATATAGTCACAGCTAAAATGGAACTACATAAGGAAGAGCTGCGATATCCGCAGATTCTATTCTGAAAGCTTGGTTCCAGACCTGCAAGGATTCGCCAGAATCTGGAGGATCCGTTCTCGCCTTTTTTAATTTGATACCCGACTGACCAAGTAGCCATTCTTGGTCATCATCAACCTCCAGCAACAGCTCCCTTGTTGGTACATTGAGTATCTGATTGAGATACTTTAGGTCAGGATGAGGCGGCTTTGCGGATGCTTCACCATTTTCCTTGACTTTCACTTTCATTGTTGCAGCCAAAGGGCTTGGTGGACAGACTTTATGTTTTTCTCCAGAGACAGCAAAACCGTTAATTCTAACTTCTTTGACTTGTGGCTTGCAAGTCATTCCTTGCAACTCAGAAGTAGGCATTGGAGGAGTTCGGGGTGCACCTATTATTCTTCCATTTTCCACAGATGGTACAGAAGCACTCAGCTTCTGTAACTTGTGTGGCGTGGTTCCATTTTCTGCGAAAGAATTAAAGACTAATGTTAGAACAAACAGTTAAGAAACTGCATTGTTAACATTTCCGACCAAAACCAAGAAAAACGGATCTTGCATCATTACTACCACACTACTCAGATACCCATAAATTAAAATATCTTTTAAGGTAAGAAAACATACCATGATTGGATAAAACTATAAGATGCTTCTAAGTACCAAACCATATATCATACGATGGTTAATATGGCAACTACACTCCTCATTCACCAGACAGAGAATTGGATCAGAGAATAACTCACCATACAAGAATCCATTTGTCATATGATCCTTCCGTTTGCCAAGATTTCCCTCGGTAATAAGGTTCTTGACGCTCGCCCGTGAAACCTCAGGCAGTTTGCAATATCTTATATCCAGAGAGTCCTTTTCTCTTTCTTCTAATTTGGGCCCTCCTATCAATTTTGGTTTCTCCTGACAAGTTTTCTTTATTGACTCTGTTTTTTCCTCTTTCTTCTCTTTATTTCTGTCTTTATCCTTTGCTTCACTCTTCTTTACCCCTTCTTGATCCCTTGGTTTATCACTCTTGGTCACACTTTCCTTGCAGTGAATCTTCTCAGCTGATTCTGTTTGCCTCATCTGGTCTCTGGTCTCCATTGGTTTACCCATAACCTCAGCTCTTTTCTGATCAGCACCAAATGATACTCGAGAAACTGCATTTTCAGAACTTTTTGCCGCTGTAAAGTTCTTTTGGGTATTGATTCTCTTATTGGCATCTACCCTATGGCTTGTTTCTTCAATTGGGCTGTTCACAAATGCTTTTCCTGTTATTCCTACATTTTTTTGGTTAGGATGATCAATCTTTTGTTCACTCTGACTTCCTGTTGCTTTTTCGTCATATCTGATCCTTCTTGCCAGGTCCTGTACATACTTGAACTCTCCATTACTATTATTCGGCACGGGTATCTGGTAACAAGATTCTCTCTGTGCCCGAATGTTTGTCAGCACCTCGGCTTTCTTCTCCTCCAAAGGTTGCCTTTTTTCTTAATCTTTCTCCTTTTCTTTCCGATCTTTATGTTTGTCTTTTTTCTCCTTTCGTTCCTTCGGTTTGTCTTTGCTTCTATCTGTACTCTTTTTCTCTGTACCCTCTTTCTGTTCTTTATCCTTCTTATGCTTCTTTTCCTTGTACTTGTCCTGAAATTTACATCCCATGAAGCAAAACATATACACATATAAGGAAAGATCACAAAATATAAACATATAAGGCAGCTGCATATAGTTCCACCTTAAACAGACTAGTCTATACATGGCGGAAGTATCAAGATAGCATACAAAGCAATTCAGCACAAAATTTTCTTTGTCCACAAGGGAATTACACTTGAAGCAAGAACGAAAGTCTCCAAATCCCTCAATAATTAGCAGACAAGATTTACTTCTTTTTTCTTTTTTCTTTTTTTTCTTTTTTTTTTTTTTTTTTTTTTCAAAGCAGACAAGATTTACATGCTCTGGTAGATAGGACTTTGAAAACCAATATGAGCTTATATAAGGTTGCGGGGCAAAAACAGTGAAAAAAATGGATATGCATTGTTGGCTGGTTTTCTCCAATTCAAGGAAATTATCGTCTAGTAGGTAACTAGTCTGACCGGCCTGCCATAAGCTACTACCAGCAAGTTCAACTTCCATAACTAATTCCTAAGCTCCTTGCTACTCTTTCTGAATACCATTTACTGCAGTGTCTTAATATGGCTATGAAGTCACCATCAGGATAAATCTAACCCCTTCCCCTGTTTCCACCTACGTATATAGGAAGGACTACATCAATGCAAAAAATATCACCCTCACTATCTCCCGGTCCTCAAATAGTCTAATCCCAAATGGGTTGTGAGATACTACTATGTTCTTCAGGCCAAATAAACAAATCCTTGTGAAAATAATGAATGAGATAAATAATTCTAACATCTAAGATTCTGAAACAAACTACATGAACAGCCCTTCCCTTGACAGCTTGCACCTCATCATTTAAAGTCAATGTAGTATCCACAAGCCCTATATGTGTGCTATATATTATAGGAAACAAAGGAACATTCTCGCAGAATCAAGAAATGAAAGATACTATTCTATAGATGATAAAAGATACATCTCCGATGATCCCTCTCACATATCAGTATCAATCTTTCAGCATCAGCGATGCTCTTGTAAGAGATAGTCAAATCCTTACTATTAACTATAGTGTACGTGAGAAAACTCAAGGTTTAACCACCTAGCAATGACGTTTCCAGAATAACAAGAAACTAATTC